CTCTCAGAGACATGTCCTAACCATGAGGGGGAAAACAATGTTAGGATTCAAAGTCCTGAACAGCTTCTGGCTCAGCGCCACCTGCTGATGTAAAACCGCTGAGTTGGTGTTTTCTGACGGCGCAGTAATAATCAGGCTCACTGATAAAAACTACACATGCAGCAGGGGGCAGCGGCTGTACAAACTCACATTACAGCGCACGCGTGTGTGTGTGTGTGAGGTGATTTCTGGCAGCGATGGTCTTCCAGTGATGAACGACATTCAACAGTCGTGCAGTGGAGTGAAATCGAACCATCGACTTCATCAGTGCGGCGTCCGTTCAACCGTATGAGTGGAATTATCTATTTAATCTTCTGTGGGTGTGGGTGGTGGGGTGGGGGGGGGGGGGGGGGGGGGGTGAGGGGCAGGAGAGGACAAATAATAATAATGAAAAGCCATCAGTCATTATCAGGTTTTATGGCTGTGTAAATATTATCCACGTCGCCTCCAATCAGCTGATAAACAGTGGACGGAAAACAGAGCCGCAAACACTGATTGGTCTGGATGTCGGCCGGGAAACGTGGAGATGAACGTGATTGTTGATTAACCGGTAATCTGGGTGACGGCTACACACACACACACACGTTTACACTTTGGTCTGTGTGTGGTGTGACGATGTTTCACAGAGAGTCTGACGGAGGAACAGACTGTGAGGAGTTTATTAAAGGGGAGGGTACGGCGAGGGGGGGGGCAGGGTGATCCATCAGCCGTGGTGGGAGAAGGTTCTAACCCCATTCTTTGTAAAGATGAGGTCAGTAGGAGTTAGGAAACCAAAACATGAGGGGTAATAGAACGCAGTCAAAGGGCAGGAAAAGGAAATGAGAGTTTAACCACTCCATGTTTGAGGGCTGGGGCAGAACAACAACCCCCTCAGGGACAAACCCCCTCCGGGCGTTGAAGGGACAAACCCCCTCAGGGACAAACCCACTCCGGGCGTTGACTCAGATGGTCTCAGATGGTTCAGTAAATGTCACAGCCAGAGCCAGGAAGGCTTTAGCACCAAGCTGCTAAAATCAGCCTCCAGTGAAAAGGCAACAGAGTCACACCTGAGTCTGAGACTCCGCCCACCACCTCAGACTCGTGGACCGTGGAAACTTGTCTTTTACTGATTTTTTAACAATAGTTCTACACCCGTTAAAGTGTTTACTCAAAGGCAGGAAACATTCGATTGGCGGTAAAGCTCTGCTCACTCTCTGTTCATGTTGACGTCACAGAAAGTGTCTTTTTTTTGTGTGTTTTTTAATTTGATCCAGTTTGACCTTTGAGGTTTTTGTTGAATACAGAAATATTTGTTTTCATCCACATCGTTATTGGTTCAAACCCAGTAGAAACTTTACTTCTAAAATTGATCTTTTCTGTCCAGAGTCGTTGGGTCGATCGCGTCTGGTCACGTCTGCAGCGGCGTTAACTCTGCTGTTGATCACTGCCGTTTTGTCGTCACGCTTCCTGTCGTGAGTCGCATCCCTTTCTCTTTGATGATTTCCTTGACCTCCACTCTTCGTCTGGCTGCGGCCGATGAGTTATTGAGAAGAACGAAGTTCTCACTGATCTTAAAGGTTTCACTGAAATCCTCTCTTTTTTTTTGAACCACATTCTTTGATCTCTGTTTGAGTCTTTTTTTTTAAACAAACCCCTCATTAGTTTCTTTCACTAACGATCCTCTGCCTTTGGACTAGTTTTTTTTTTTCGCCAAATCCTTTGTCTGTGGAGAGCTAAGAAAAGATTTTACAGAGATGTGGGTTTGAGATTATTGGGTTTGTGACCAGTCGTTACCATTTTCTACAGGATTGACCTTTGACCGTGATGCCTTCAGGTGTCTCGATGGTTATTATGGTTAAAAAAAACAAAAAACCTCAGTGAGTTGTACAGAGCTGAAGACATTTAAATATTATCAAATTAAAAGTTGTTTCTTTTAGAGAGAAAAGTTTGCCTTTGCATTTCCACCTCTGTGCTCTCGCTCTCTCTCTCTCTCTCTCTCTCTCTCTCTGTCATACCTACTCTTATCATTTGCGTGCGACCTGTGTGAGAGCAGCGAGCGGAGTCTCACGGAACTGGTGATTTATTGGTGTGAAAAGCCTCCGCAGCCTGTTGTCAGCTGTGAGATCAAAGTTCTGGCATGAACTCCGTCTGAAGGACGAGAAGAGAAAAAAAAAAACAAAACAAGAGACAATATAGACTTTTATTACCTCCTAGGAAATTGTAGCAGAAGACAAAACAGGAGACGCTCTACAGAAGACAGGACACCAGAGAACAGCTTTAAAAAGGCATGTTATGGTGTGTGTGTGTGTGTGTGTGTGTGTGTGTGTGTGTGTGCAGGCGCTGCCTTTTCCTTTTTTACTGATTTTCTGTTGATGTAAAGTAGAGCTGTGTTGGTGACACGATTCAACCACAGGTGTGTGAGAACCATGAAGTCAAAGTTTGTTGAACTGAGTGAACGAGGCCTCAAACTAAAACCCTGATCATCTTTGATTCACATCATTGATCACAACAGATATTTTTACAGTCAGAGACATTGATCAGAGACAGTGAAAAGAAAATGACTGATACAAAGACACTTTAAAGTCCCGGTCTTTTCTGTCTTTTGTCCATAAAGGTTGAAGACAGAGTTTGTTTGCTCCTGGATTTGGTCTCGTGTCTCCTACCATGATGTCACGGTGCAGCCACACTGTGATCCATCCACTAGGCCTCAGTGGGGGAGGTTCACACCTTACCCCCATATTGTCAGTGTCTCAGATGGACATGTGTTTGAAGCAGGGAGTGGAGGAGGAGACAGTCTTCAGCATCAGTCCATCACCTCACTGTTATTATTCCAG